TTTTTATTGGAAATATTACCAATAATATTAATCTAACTCGTTTTATTTTTTTTAAAGATTTTATTTCTTTATTTTCCCCCCAAAGCCCCAGTAGATAGTTGTATGTCATAGCTGCACATCCCTCTAGTTGCTGTATGTGGGACGCGGCCTCAGCATGGCAGGAGAAGCGGTGCGTTGCTGCGCACCTGGGATCCGAACCTGGGCCGCCAGCAGCGGAGTGCGCGCACTTAACCGCTAAGCCACCGGGCCGGCCCTAACTCGTTTTATTTTTAATGATCCCTTGTCACTACAGCATGTTTTTCTTTGTAGAACATGTCATTCTAGAAAAAATAAAGTCAAATATGACCACATATAAATAACATTCTATTTGTAGATTTGCCTCTTGTCAGAAGAAATCAACTATGAGAGGCCTCATGACAGCAGTTAACTCTTCTCTCTGATACCCTCCTTACAGTCCACTGTCTATACAACATCCAGAATGATCTGGATTATTAGAATCCAGATTATAATTAACTGGATTATTCTTGCCACTTACAATTTAAGTCAGGTCATGTCCTGCCCCTGCTTGAAACCCTCCCATAGTTTCTCATCACATTTATAATAAAACCAAAGTGCTAACCACTGCTTACAAGGCCCTGGGTGACCTTGTTCCTGGATACCTCTCAGGTATGAATTTTTTTTGGTTTTCGTTTTTGGTGAGGAAGATGTTTGCTGAGCTAACATCTGTGCCAGTCCTCCTCTATTTTGTATATGGGATGCTGCCACAGCATGGCTTGATTAGCAGTGTGTAGGTCCATGCCCAGGATCCAAACCTGTGAACACCGGGCCGCCGAAATGGAGCATGGAACTTAACCACTGTGCCACCTGGCCAGCCCCTAGGTATGATCTTTCTTCCTTTCACTCTATTCAGCCACACTGACCTCCACTGTTCCCTGAAAGTGCCAAGCACACTCCTGCCTCTGCCTTGTAAAGTCTTCCCTAAGCTGTATGTATCGCTTTCTCCCTCACTTCCTTCGGGGCTTTACTCAAAAAATTACCTCCTTGAAGAGTCCTCTCTGACCACCCTAAAATAGCACATACTCGATCTCTAGCACCTTACTCACTATTTTGCTTCCTATCATTACCTAAAATTATATTACATATCTACTTATTTCGTTTGTTGTCTCTGCCACCAGAAGGCCAGTTCCATGAGTTCAAAGACCTTGTCTATTTTGGTCACTATTATATTCCCAGCACCAAAAAATGTACCTGTGCCATAAATGTGTTGTATGGTTGAATGTGAATAAATCCAACTAGAAATAACCCCAGTATTTATGTTAAGAAGCATTTAGGGCCGGCCTCATGGCTTAGCGGTTAAGTGCTCGTGCTTCGCTGCTGGCGGCCCGGGTTCGGATCCTGGTCGTCCACCGACGCACCGCTTCCCCGGCCATGCTGAGGCCGCGTCCCACATACAGCAACTAGAAGGATGTGCAACTATGCCATACAACTATCTACTGGGGCTTTGGGAAAAAAAAAAAAGAAGCATTTAGATGAATCAAGACGTATTTTGGAGGTGGGAGTTGGTGATCAATTGGATGTGGGGGGTGAGAAGGGGGACCATATCAAGAAATCCCTGATTTTTGCCAGGGGCACATGGGTCTGTGGAGGTGTCATTTACTGAGACCAGAAAGACCAAAGAAGCTGATTTGTAGAGAAGGTGGAGTCCAGTTTTGGACAGCTAATGCTTGAAACGCCTGTGGGACATTCAAGCGGAGATGCTAGGTAGGCAGTTGGACATGTAGGTCTGGAGTGAGAAGATTACATTTCCTTATTGTTTAAACCCTTTTTGACCTAGGTTTTCTTTAATTGAATCTAAAGGCACCCTATTGACATCTCTGCAGTCAAGCAAAACTCAGACTCTACGATAGACTTTGTTGCTGAAGTAAAACTTGACTGTTCACAGTGATGGGGCCTCTATTTTCTTTAAGTGACATGAGAGCTTTCTGACAACCAGGAACGATAACAGAGAATGTTCACTGTTTGGGCAGTTGGTCACTTCACCTAAAATCAAAAGCTAATTCTTCAACAAAATGCTTAAATCTGACTGAGGGTGTTCTGCAAGTGAGTAAATGGCTGTTAAACATGGTTGTAGAAGAGGCTCAAGCCTGTGTACCTTGTACAGGAAATGGGTTCTTCCTGTTTTCTCTTCTGGACAATGTTTATTCTAGGTTGCTGAATGGAATGCATATTCCACTTAAAAAAATCTGAGGATAGGATACGCTTGTCCCGTTTGTAGGGTCCTTGCAGATTCAAACCATGACTGCTTGACTTAGGTGTGTACATCTTGTTCTGGGTTAACGTGATTCCAATTTAAATCTCAAATGAACTTCTTTTTTTTGCCTTTTATAAGTACTCTAGTTTTCTCTGCAGTTATTGCTTCACAAAGGCTGAATTCAATGAGGATCCAGTATTTCAGTGTGTTATCTGAAACACACTGGGCACCTCCTGAAGTAGTGGAATTTTTGATGGTACGGTCACTGAGAGGGGACAGTGCTTCCTCGAAGTGGTTTGGGCCAGTCTAACACAACGCCAATATACCATCTTCAGCCCCTTAAATTCTTACCTATGAATGTGGAATAAAAGTCTGATTTTCTGCTTCTTAAGGAATTTCACACATCAGCAAGTGGTTTGAGGAAGCATTTTTATGTCAGAAATAAAGTGGGATGGTGGGGAGAGGAGCCTATTAAGTTCCTGGAAGCACACCTGGTTTGCCTGAAAGCCCTAAACCTAGCAAGTTGGAAATATCTAGTATTTTGTCATTCAATAATTCAACCAGCAATTAGTCTACTATATGTGTCTATGTGCATGTGTGTGTGTGGGGGGGGTGGGGGAGGTAGGGAGGATACACAGAACACATCATCTTTGCTCTCCAGGAACTCATGGTCTAGTACAACTGCATATTTAGAACAGAAGTAAGGATAGAGGGCTGTGAAATCAGGTGATTAATTCTGCCTCAGGGAGTCTGGGAAGTCTTCACAGAAGCAGTAACATTTGACTGGGGTTCTGAAGGATGAAAAGGAGCTTACTGGGCAAATGAGGAATAGTAAAAGAACTAGGGTTGAAGTTAAAGTGAGTTCTAATAGGAACCTTGGGTGGATGCAGGAGCCTAAGATGCAGAGATTTGGACCACAACATGTAGGGATATGAGTAGTATAGCATCATACATATTTATGCAGCATATAGTAAAGGTGTTAGCTTTAAAATCATTCCTAGGTTTTCTGGAGTTTTTAACATAAATTCCAAGAAGTCCAGAGGATACTACGCCACATGTGAATTAAAATGAACCTTTTGGAAAAGTCTATTATTAAAAGGTGAGCATGTCTAAAGCCGTCTTAAGAGCAAAAGAATCCTCTCTTGAAGACAGAAAAGATTCAAGAGACCTCCCTTCAGGTGATCTTTTTAGTTGTCTCTAAATTGGAATATTTGGTTTGAGCACAATACCTACTTTCTCCTTGGCTACTATTTTGACAGGTAGAGACATACCCGAAATCACTACCACTTGATCTAAGACATACATTCTTGGCATTGCCTGTGTGTGATTTGGTTAATACAGGAGTTCGGTAAGATTATATTTTTTAGAAGGTTTCAGAATATGATCTGTACTCTTGAGATTTAACTGTGCTGTAATGCAAATTCTGCTAACTTGATTAACAGTAAAAAATTAGATATTTTTAATCTCCCTTTGAGATTTTTGGATAGCGTTCAATGAACAGAAATTCACTTAATTATATAGTGCAAAACAAACATTTAAACTCTTCAGAGTTCTTTACTATATTTTGCACGTCTTCGTTTCCCCAATGTTTGGGCACATGCTAAACAAGTAAATAATTATTTGCTGACTAAAGAAGTACTTAAAAATTTCATTTTCTTCTAGGTGTATTGCAGGAAGCTGCATATCCCAAAGCCAGAATAATCCAGTTTCCAGCCAAGGCATTTGGGATTTCTAACAATTCTATTAAAAAATTTTACTGTTATCCTGCACGAAACGCCTAGCGGTGTTTTAAAAAAACCCAAACCCCATAACACGACAAACTCAGAAACCTTGTAAAGATGGTTCACAGTATTTATATATTCTATTTAGTACAAAGACTAGAAAACATTAAATTAAATAAACCCTTGGTTGATGTAACACTTCCCAACTCTTAGTATTTTCAAAGAATCGGGTAGGTTTTAGGATCTTCAAATAAAGCAAGCAAAGCAAAACAATCCCTGTTCCTTAAAATACGCAAGTTACCTGCTTCTTTTGGTGAAAGATTTCAGGAGAAAAGCAGGCAAGCAAAAATCTTACTTGGAAAGCAAATCTTAAAAGAAGCCCTAATCGTCAGCGGCCTCGGGCCGCCCGCCCGCCCGGGGTCGGGAAGCGCGGCGGCGGCGGCGGCAGCCGGGAAACCTCAATGTCACCCGGTCGCGGGCGCCTACGGCGGGCGGAGGAGCTGCGGCAGTCCGTGCACGCGCGCAGCCCAACGCGTCCCCTCGCTCCGCGGACGGCGAGCCAGGCGTCCGCCGGCGCCGCGCTGGACAGAGGCGGAGGCACGGTCAGACGCCCCAGGGTAGTCTCCTTTCTCCGGCTGGGCGCTTCTAGGACTCAAGGAGCCGCAGGAGTGCGCCTCCCCTCCCCCACCCCACGCCGCAGGCGCACAGGGCACGGTCGCCTTCCCGGAGGTGCCACCACACCCCTGCCCGACGCCGCTACTGCCGCCCGCTGCCAGGGGGTGCGGATGGGGCGGGTGGGTGAGCCGACTCCAGGAACCCTCGGAAGGGCGGGGACAGAGGAAGGGGCCTCTCTAGCCGCGCCTTCGAAACAGCGCTCCTTGTTCTCGATGGTCCCCGCGCGGCCGTCTTATCGAACGCCATTTCCGGTTCCTTTTAAAGGCCCCATGCTGTGTGGCCCGGCGCGTGAGAGGAAGGTATAAAAGGGAGCGAGAGGGCGGGACCAAGGAGGAAGGGGGGGGGGGAACTAGCGGTAGAAGGGGCGGAGGAGGTGCAAAGGGCGCGCTCGCGCGTCACGTGACCGGGACGCGCCGTTCTTCCGTCGGCCATTTTAGGTGGTCCGCGGCGGCGCCATTAAAGCGAGGAGGAGGCAAGAGCGGCCGCCGCTGCTGCTTATTCTTTTTTAGTGCAGCCGGAGAGTGGGAGTGATCGCCGCGCGAAAGTGGGAGGCGAGGGGGGCAGGCCAGCGAGAGGCGCAGGAGCCTTTGCAGCCACGCGCGCCTTCTCTGTCTTGTTGTGTGCTTCGCGCGGTAGAGCGGGCGCGCGGCAGCGGCGGGGATTACTTTGCTGCTAGTTTCGGTTTGCAGCGGCGGCGGGTGTCGTCTCGGCGGCGGCGGAGGCAGTAGCACTATGTCGGAGGAGCAGTTCGGCGGGGACGGGGCGGCGGCGGCGGCAACAGCGGCGGTAGGCGGCTCGGCAGGCGAGCAGGAGGGAGCCATGGTGGCGGCGGCGCAGGGGGCAGCGGCGGCGGGAAGCGGAGCCGGGACCGGGGGCGGAACCGCGGCCGGAGGCACTGAAGGGGGCAGCGCCGAGTCGGAGGGGGCGAAGATCGACGCCAGTAAGAACGAGGAGGATGAAGGGTGAGTAAGGGGCGGCCCGGGATAGTCAGGCCCAACTCGTCCCCCCTCCCCCTCCCGTCCCCCGCCATTAGGCCTCGTTCCCGCTCTCCGCCCGCCCTCCAGGCCCCCATAGAGCCTCTTCGCACAGTCCTCCCTTCTCTACGTTGGGCTCCCCGGGGCTCGTACTGTCTTCTTCCCCTGCCTGCTTCTCGCCCCCTCCCCCATCACACACGTTTCCACCTTTAGCCGTCACCATGCTGTTCCCCGGCCCGCCCTCCTTCCCTCCCTCGCCGTGGGTCTCCTCCCACCGACTTAGCCGCCAGGATTTTTTCCCGCCTGTCGAGGGGTACCTTTTTTCTTTCCGCGCTGTCCCCTCCCTTCTGGGTTTTCTAAAGTCCTGGGCATAAAGACACAAACAGGTACACCAGTTTTTGTGCCTGGACAACTAAGGTTTATTTGGTGCTTCTCGCTCCAGTATCCCGAGACGATGCGATTCTTTATAAGCACATGCTTCGGGGAACGTGTAGGCTGTTCACCTCTGCTCCTCCCGCCTCGGCTTCAGGCCGAATGTTTTCTAGTGTTTTGAGTAAGTTTTTCCTCGACCTCTTCGTTTTTCCACTATGCTCTATCGCACAACGGCTTACTTACCTAGTCCCTACTTTTCAGCCTACGGAACAAATTGGGACTGGCGAAATTCCCTGAATCGCCTGTTGTTGGTTTTGCTCCACGGGGTTTCGTTAAGTTTCTTGTCGGCGGGGCCTGCACTTGACTGGAGCTGTTCCTCCGGCTTGCTGGCTGCCCTGCCCCCACCCGCCGAGTTATTCTAACCGCGCACCCTTTTCGCGCCCTCAGCTATAGGGTTCCCCGACCGTGCGTACAGATTGTATTCTGACCTTGCTGTTTCTGTGAAATTTCCATTTTTTACAAAACCCTTTTTTCCTCCCACGGTGCCCAGGATCCTTTTTTGTCTCTCTTGATTTCTCCTTCCCGCTCTCTTAGCCACTGTTAAGGAGGCCCACTACCTTCTTGCGTAAAATAAACAAGTTCTTGTATTGTGCTGTGGCACGATTTTTTTTTTTTTTTTGCAGGTTTGTAAGTACTAACTTGCTTCCTTCAATTGGAATAAGTTATATGTCGCTTAAAGCTGCATTTAATATATTAGAAAGCAGCACTTGGGAGCGGGAATGTAATAGAGGAGTTAGCAGGAGGGACTAAATCGGGGTTCTTGGTTGGGTTTTCTTTTTCTTATTCCTGTTACTGACTGCTGATCTTGAGTTAACGTTTCCATGTCTTTTTGTAATGGGGGGGAATGTGTGTGTGTGAATTTTTTTCGCTATAATAAGGAGAAAGGTGTTGGTGGAAAGTAAAAGCAGTCAAATGTCGCTTTAACACAGTATTAGAAAACATGATTTCCTTTATTGGGAAAGAGAGCACAAGATTTGCAGTGGGGAGAGAGAAGCACTTTGGAATATAGAATTTAAATTTAATAATCTCAGCCCAGGCAGACTGTTGTCAGGCTGTTTTGCTGATTCTGCTGGCTTTGGGAGAGTGGAGGTGGGATGGGAAATTAGATTGTATTAATCGATTAATCTTGAAAATTACGTATAGCTTAATTTAAAAAAGGAATATGTTAAATATTTGCAAACGTAAGCCTTTAACATTTTGGTTTTTGTCTTTTGAATTCTGTTCTTTGGACAGAGGCACCAAAATGATTAATTGTATAACTTGCTGTTTGGGGCAGGCTTTCTGTTAGTCCTGATTTTTTCTAATCACAAAGTAAGCTGCCTTTGTAGTTATCTACTGTTGAACTGAAGTGTAAATGAATTAAAGTTTTTAACCCTAACAATGTCAAAAACTAAAACTAGAATTTTGATTGGTTGCTGTACCGGTTGTTAATTCCCTAGCCATTCAAACTCCTCCCCACGACACTCTGAAGCAGCGACGGCACAGCGGGAAGAATGGTAAAACTTTTAAATTTTATTTCTGTATTATAAAGGTTTCAGTAGTCATAACATGTAGAGGCTGTGTATTGGTTAGTTGCCCATTGATCCCCAGGAAATTCTAGACATTAGTACAGTAAGGTGTCTTGTACCTGGGATATAAAACTTTTTTAGGTATTGTGTGTGATCTTTGGGCAAAATTGATGCCATTACATGGTGTTTGGTCTGGTAATGCATGTAGCTGTGGTTTGGCCAATTAAAGCTTAATATAATTAGTAATGATATTTTTATATCTGGGCAAGGAAAAATGTTACTGTAATTTCAAATTTGATTTGTTTTTAAGACTAAAAATATTTTTGTTGGAATTCTAAGTTTAATGCTAAATGTGAAAGTAACTTGATATAAAATTTTGTGTGCTTAAAATGTCCTGCATGTTATACTGAAATACTGTGGAGATGTCAAAAGTAAAACAATTTTTAAAGTAGTGTTGTGTATATGTATTATGCAAAAATGTATGTCTTTTATCACCAACCATATTTGTAAATATAACTGTAGTAAGATTTGGGTATGTACTATTCTGAGGCGGGCTGATGTGGCTTTCCACTACAGCTCTTACCAGATTTTTTATGGTCAGTGTGATTTGGCTGGAATGTTAATTACAGTTGGTTGGTTGACATATGTTCACAGTTGCATGACTTCTCTTTGGAAGGCTGGTAGATTGAGTATTGTTCTTTTTATTCCTCTCCTTCCCTTTCCTTGAATGTCCATCTTTCTGCTTTTAGGATTGTATTTGAGTTTTCCAGGAGTTTGTATCCACCACCACTGGAGTTTAGAGGGCCAGTAATTTGCAGATAGAAAGTAGTTTGTACAGATATGTCAGTTATTTTAAGAGCCCAGTTTTGGGATAACCTTCAAATTGTACATGAGCTTTACTTATTACTGTATTCTCATCCACTGAAATCTGTCCAATTTTATATTGGAAGTAAAGCAGACTGGAAACAGTAGGCAAAAGAGAATGAAAAAAAAAAGACTGGGTTCAGAGTTCGGGGTATAGAATAAAAATATTTCTGATGAAAAGTATTCCCTCTGACACTGGTAGTTCAATTTCACTGCTAGTTACTAGTGGCAAACTAAGATTAAACTGTAACTATACTAAACTATAACTATACTCCATTATATATTTCAAATCTTATGTAAGCAGCTATTTTCAGTAATTTGAAAGGACCATAAACTTAGGTTTGAGGGTCACTTGACTCTTTTAAGAATTATACTTGGCCCTCCTACTTAACCCTTTAACTTTACAAATTTTTTGAGTGACTTAGGAAAAATGGACAATTAAATATTTATAGTTAATGAACATTTTAGATTATGATCAATTGTCATCCACTTAAAATAGGATTTTACTGAGGTTCATTGTATGTTAATGAAGGTTACATTTAACAAATAACATTTTCATTTTCAAAGTCTAATATTTGACTTTTTAAAATTATTGCCCAATCACTTAGCCTCATCCTGTTACAGATATTCTTGTTTTTCTTTTTGAAGAAAGAAACCTCAATACCTTTAAAATTCTTTGATTTCTGTGCACTTGCCCCCTATCTATTCCTTTTTCTGTCTCCCAGTTTGACGGATATTGGGGAGCAGTTTCTTAATAGTCTGAATAGGATAATAGTGGTTACCACATATAAAATCATCTATATCTAATTTCTTAAACACATTTCTGCATTGCATTTCCTTTTACAATTCTGATGAGAATAAAGTGATTACAGTTTCATCCTAAAAATATTTTAAAAATCAATTTGTTGAAGACTTAAAATTTTAATTTGAATATAAAACAGCTATTTTGAGGAGGGCATGCCTGTTATACCGCTAGTGGATGTTTACACAGTTTACTATGGACCTGTAGGATGATTATTCATTTCCATAGTAAAATGCCTTCCTGAGTTCACCTCATTTTAATCTTTCCAACTTGAACATCCCTGGTTTTTACTATAAGCTATTGCTCTGGAGTTGCCCATTTTGGGTGTGGACTCATTTTGTTCTCTACAGGGCTGCAGTTCTTTTAGAGTAGTACTTTAAAATTGCTTAGTGTCTGGCAAAATACACATAACATGTAGCAAGTAAGCTACCTGGAGGCAGTGTTTTTAAAATCTCATCATCAGTGGAAAACTATAATGTGTTAGGTTTCAGACAATTTTACAAGGTAGGTACATTGACTTGCCTGCATTGAATTGGCCAGGAAACAAAATAGTCCCATTCAGTTATGAGCCAAAGTACAGCAATACTTTTCTCTTAACAGGACGATTGATCTGGTCTTATAACCATTAGTGTATGTAAGCTTAAGTATGATTCTTTTTTGGACATTTTGTGAATTAATTCTGCTGTACGTTGTCTGCTAATTTTTAAGAAATGGGCCTACACATGTTTTTGTTTTAAATATTTGAGATTATAATATATACCCTAGTGCTTCTGGGGCATTCTGAACATTGTTTGCTTTGTAAACAAGTACTTTTTGAGCAGTCTCATGCCAGATTTATTGGCCTTTGGTTCAGTAAAGTTGGGTTTACTATAAAATTGAGACCCTGAGTAGATGGGTCTGCATTTTAGCGTTTTTTGGAACCTTTGACAAGTTTCCAGTGTTAAAATTGCAGAAGTTGTTGCTCCCAGATCTTAAGATGATGAACATATAAGGGAGGAGTATTACTTTCTTTTCATTTCAAATTCTTATCTATTATGAAAGATACTAAAAATCACCTGACCTTTTGGGTTTGGAGTTGGAGACTATCATTGAAGTTGATTTTCAGTGCTGCTTTTTGATGTAAAGATACTTGCCTTAAGCCTGGGTTTTTGCCCTCAAGTTGTATGGCCCCTTCTGTAAATTAACTGTATATTTACTGTGTGTTTTTAATATTGCCTGGGTATTCTGTCATCTGTAAGGCTGCCCTAATATAAGAAAGTTTTGAATCTACTATTGCAGTGTGTGATTTATGGCCAGCGTGGAGGATGATTAGTTTTAGCATTCAAGTGATACATGCTATGCTTGAAAGCATTTAAAAAGGAATAGAATAATAACTTTTTTCCTATTCCACTTAAAGTTGTGCACCTCAAGTCTTTGAAGATTCACAAATGTAGTGAAACATAACTTCTGTTAGTCCAAGTTTTATTTGACTTGAGTTTTGCTTCAACGTTTTAGTAGATAGGGCACTGAACTGGATGCTGGAAGCGTGGGATCTCTTTCTGTTACTTCACTTCCAACAGTGTGGTCTCAGGTAATATAACATGTTTGTTACTTGGTTTGCTGATCTATGTGTTGGAAACAATGCTCACCACAGGAAGATTGACTACATAGCCTGCTTTCATAGCTTGTATGTATTTATCCCGTGCCTTAATAGTTGATACTACCAGTGATTTACTCCTGTGGAGTAAAGGTAAGCATGTTTTAGTTTCTGGAGTATTATATTGCACATTGGAGCTAGACATTTAAGACTATTTGGGGATGGGGTGGGGAGACTCGTATTAGTGGCAGTGTTTGGCCAATAATCAATATGATAGTTTTAAGTATTGGGTCATGTTCTGTAAACTCCTGCTTATCTAGACTTGAAACTGCCACAAAGCCCAAACAGCTAGGAAATTCCACCACCCCTTTAGTCTTGTGAGAAAGATAAGTGACAGACTATCAGCAAATATACTCAAAGAGCACCCAACAGACAGTGTGATGCAATGAATCTTCTATAATTTTTCCCTTATACTATTAAAAAGTAACATGATTTTAAAGCGTTGCAACGTTCTAAAATTTCATCAAGAAAGGTAAAAATTATTTTCTGAGTTTAGTGTTGATATCAATTGATTTCCAGTAGGAAACTTTATAGAATTGTGAATGTGTAGTAATCTCAGTTAACCAGAACTTTAACCTTTAGGTTAAGGAAACTGCACTCCTTAACCTCTAGGTAGATGGGAGTTTACCTTATAAAGCTGATCGAGAGTTTATTTTAAGAGTAAAGATACAAGATGTCATTGCTGCCTTGAAGTGAAGAAAAAGGGGAGATTTTGAGTTAAACATTTGCAAGTTATTCAGAAACTGTCATGTTTAATTTATTGGGTATTTTTAAATCAGTTAATCATTTTTAGTCATTTAGGTTTGATCTAAAGTATGAAGTAATGAGATTTAATGTACTAGGCCAGAGGAATTAATCTTTTAATGACTTGTTAAAAGTTTGTCAAGCTCTTTCCAAAGGTATTTTTTATACAGATTCTAAAATGATTACCATGTGATACTGTATAGTTGCAAAAAGTAAACTCTTTCCCCCTTTATAGGTAACTAGTGACAGCTTTAAAATAGATCTATAGTTTCTAAGGAAAAATACTCATTTCTTGTGTGTTGGTGAGATTTCATTATATTTAATGTCATTTTAGGATTTTAAAGGAATAATTACAACAATAAAATACCAGAAAATTTATTTAAATAAGGATTAGTGGTATACTTGAGTAACATTACTCTAACAGGTGACAGTGATTGGCTAGTCAACTTATGTACTTGAAATGTATCTCGGATTGACATATTTTGTTGTATTTTTTAAACTGTCAGAACTTGTTATGAAACCATATACAGTAGATCATGAGTTGTTAGGAAGTGTTTGAAAGTTCTAGAATACTTTTTTTTGGGCCCTGTTCCAGAATTGAGAGGAAGTGTAATAGTGTTTATCATTTTACCTTGAATAAGGTGTTTCGCAGTAAAGTCTAGTTAGGGGAAGTATCTTTAAATAAAATACTTACTGTTGACTTTGGAGTGTTAAACCTGTTGACCTCAGTAGCACAGAGAATAAGTTGCCTGGACGGGAAAAAACAGGAGTATTTTTTAAAAAAATTATTTATTTATTTATTTTTCCCCCAAAGCTCCAGTAGATAGTTGTATGGCATAGTTGCACATCCTTCTAGTTGCTGTATGTGGGACACGGCCTCAGCATGGCCAGAGAAGTGGTGCCTTGGTGCGCGCCTGGGATCTGAACCCCGGGCAGCCAGCAGCGGAGCTTGTGCACTTAACTGCTAAGCCACGGGGCTGGCCCCAAAAACAGGAGTATTAAATCAGAACATTTTCCACCAGCCAGCACTGCTCCATATGTATTGCCTTTTATATTTTGAAATTATTCCTTACTAAAATTACTGGCATTTATGTAGAGTACAGACAAGTCATCGAGATGATTTTGGAACTACATTTTATTTAAGAGTTATACAACCTAATTTCCAGTGTATATATTTTTTACGTGGAATATTTAAAAATTTCTGGCTTAAGTCTATAGCATTGAAAATAATCTTAGGATCCATTTATATAAAAGTCATCTTGGCCTTTTCCCCTTCATGTTGGAAACTTCATATAGCCCATGCAGATTTTAAAAAATGTAAGTCACTGAGTAAATGAAGAAGTTGCTTTATTAAATTATATTTAGGTCATACTCTACCCCTTCTAAATAATAATTTACTTTTTTGAGTACTTAGATGGGTCAGACTGTGTTACAGTGACCTTTAAGTGTATTTGCTCATTTAATCCTCACTGCAGATATATGAGGTAGGCTCTTAGTCTTTTTTACAGATGTGGAAACAATCTTGGAATTTCTTTTTTTTCCTTGGGGTCATACAGTTAGTAAGTGGTAAAGGTAGGATTTAAACCTAGGCAGTTTGGCTTACTGCCTCTAAATTTACTTCTCTAAAAGAGAATGTCCCACAAAGCAGCCTAAATTCCTAAATGGCGCACTGCATAGTATTTGGATAGTAATCTGCACTGAGTTGTATAACTTTATGCCTATCACTTAATATTATAATATCATGTAATATCAATACTGTAAAAGCAAGGAGATTTCAATTGTTGAGTGGATGTTTTAAATTGAATACTATATTGCCTTTGGGGTGCTAAATAGCTTATGCGTAGGCTTAAGAAATTAAACTTGGTTAGTAAAATACTGTAGATGAAGTCCTACATTTTAATTGGGATTATTGATTCATTTACAACTAAGAATCAAGTTTTAAACTTACGTTGCAGCATTAGGGGCCCGTTTTTGTTGCTATTTGAACAAGTCTTGCGACGTAGTTTTAACTTGGCTGCTTAGGATATTTCTGAAGTTCTGTCTCTACATTGTAAAGTGTTTGCACATCTCTGCAGGAGTGACAGCAACTTGAAAGTTAGTCTTTGTATTCAAAGCAGCAGAGGTAATCTGGGCGGACAATAGGTATTGTGCTTTAAGCAAGATACTGTAATATAAAATATAGAAAACTTAAATTGGTATCATTTTATACCATCTCAGAATTTGAGGGAGAGCATGTCAGAATGCTGGTGTTCTAAGAGAGGCTAAAGTAAGTTCCCGTTTATCCAGAATTAAGACCTTTTCCTACTGTACTGTACCGTTATATCTTGGTGTGCCTTCTGAATAAAGATGGAATGGATTTAGTATGTTCCGTTTAGTCAAAAAGGAACGGATTTGGTGCAGTTTGTGTTCATTGTAGTATGTTCACCTGTCTGGTTATCAGTTGTGCTGCAACCTTATTACAGCAGGAGGAAAAACAGTGCTTTTGGGCTGCCAAAGGGGTGATGCATTTGTCTCCAAGAAGAGCCACTTCTGCTCTTGCTCAGAGACTGTTTACTTTTACTTCACACACAATTTGAAGAGTTTGAGTGTCGGTTACCTACCTACCAAATGGAAGGGGGAGGCATTTTAGAAGAGCAACTGGTGATTAATCTGGCGAAAATGAAAAATAGAACTTGTTAAAAGAGCTAAGAAATGAGATGCAGTTAGTGTATTAATAAATAGCTCTCTAATTTCAGAAGAGTTTACGGGCATGCAACAGCAGCATAATATATTAATGGTGACTGACCCTTAGAGTGGTAAGTCATGATTACTGTATTTGATTAAGAAGACAGAAGAGTGTGTGATAGGTTGTAGAAAAAAAAATTCGTTCCAATTAATTGAAGGTTAGAAAACAACTGGGGAGAGATTAGGGAACACCAGTAGTGCTTTAAGGAAGGTGGAATATTTGGCTCCTCATTCTCTAAAGGTGCTGGATAGCTGAAGTTTTACTACGTATTTTGCTGTAATTTTTTGAGAAATAGTAATTATATGTAATATGTATAAATTATAGTTGACTGGAATATTTAATGTTCTGGATAAATGGGATTTGATATTTTAGGAAGGATAGCATCTTCAGTGACCTTTAGGTCTAAGGTAGGCACATTTAATAACTTATCTGCTAAAGACTGTATTAAAGGTTGGAAGTATCTTTAGAGAGCACTTTATTGGGCCAGTTGACGAATTAGTATGCTTAATCTAATTTTTAAGAAAACTGACTTCCTTTGCTGTGAAAAACATTTGGGGCTTGTGAATAATAGAACACGCCTCATTCTTGGTGTTATAATTTATTTCTTTGTAATGGTTTTGTTTCTTAATAATTTTAAATTAAGGACACTTAACCCAATATAAACATTGCCTTGGTTAAATAGTCAAAACTCATTCTGTCTTAATATCTGAGGAACGGACCAGACAGACACAAATTTTTCTTGCTTTTCAACTTTAGCTTTTTAAAGTAAGGCTTTCATTATTTATTCTCTTCAGCTTGAAATAATTTCAAACTGTTAAATTATTGATGGAAAATTTCTGTAATAATCACAGTAGTGGTCATCTAATAGTTAAATTTCAACTTAATTGAAGTTGTTTCTGTTCTAGAACTTGCCATGGATATGTGAGCAAGAGATCATTTTTTATAGTCAGTTCTCTTTCTCATCTTTAAAAAGATAGCTGTGTCCTTCTCCCCTTGAAAGGGTACATGTTGGTAATGAACTTTCATCTATGAAGGAAGTGCTCTGGATCTTTAGGTTAAAAATAAGGTGTTTCTACAATGTTATAAACCAATGTTACTGCAATAAACAAAAAATTAAAAAAAAAAAATAAGGTGTTTCAGGCAACTTACGTGACTAGGATTGGATATTAGAAGGTGCATTATTTGAATAAAAGAAAATGTAATTTTGAAAATACCTCAACTTTTTTCCATGGAATTGGCAATAAACGTTAAAAGTAACTATACAACATTATGGGTGTTTTTGTTAAGTTCGTTTGATTATAAAATACAGAAAGAGTTAATAAAGGTTACTTCAAGCATGGAAATTTTATTAGAGGAAGTCCTGAAAATTAAGCATATAAATGGCCCAGCTCTAGAGTACATGGACAAATTGAAAACTGGGAAGCACAGTATATGCTTAAAGTAAGACTTCTTTTGCATTAAAAGTTAACTTTTTCGTTAGAAGTAAAAACAAGTCTGTGGTAAAAGAGTAAGGTCAGTAACACCTCAGTTAATCTGGCATCTTGAGGGAGAAGCAGAAGCAAGATCTTATTCTAGGGACAAAACTTGCCTCGTTGAAAAATTGGCTGTAGTGGCAGTGTCATAAAAGCCCACAAGATGGGGATGTTTTCTGCTTTAATTTTTTTCTGGGAGCTGGAACTTAGTACCCCATCCCCATCCCTACCCTTACCCACCCCACTTAAAAGATGAGAAATTGTTGAGCAAGCATGATTTTATTCCCAGGGTGAAATGTTTAGCCCTCACATAACAAATTCTGACAGTTTACCCTTAACATAAACATCTCCAGTCCTGTCTTTTTAAAGGGTAGGAGGTATATGTTTGCTCTTTTTGGGGGGTGGGTGCAAAGGGGGCACGTGTAAAAAGGATCACAGAGCTGCCAGATCTGAGCTTTATGGCCTTTTGCTGTAATAAAAATAAGGTTTCACCTTAAGGGTTTTTTTGGAGTATATATTTTTGGTCTTAAAGTGTCTTGGTGGTTTCCACTTACTACCTGTCACTTGTAGCATTTTAAAGGTTTAAATAACATTGCTGGTTAACTGAGGTTCTACTGTAAATAAATCATCTAGGTTAATTAGTGGATTGTGCTTCAATGGCTGATTCTTTTTGTTCACTAAATTGTTTACATGATTGCTTTTGTTTTTATTAAAGACTCTTAGCACATCAAAAAGCTTGGCTTAGGGGGCCGGCCTGGTGGCGCAGCAGTTAAGTGCGTGCGCTCCAGCAGGGTTCGCAGGTTCAGATCCCGGGAGCGGACCTACGCACCGCTTGTCAAGCCACGCTGTGGCGGCGTCCCATATAAAGTAGGGATGTTAGCCCAGGGCCCATCTTCCTCAGCAAAAAAGAGGAGGATTGGCATCAGATGTTAGCTCAGGGCTGATCTTCCTCACCAAAAAAACATCTTGGCTTACCTGTTAATTGTGAGACTTAGGATTTTCCATTTTATGTGCTAAGAGTTTTGTTAATGAGAACTTAAATAGACAGGAGCTTCAGTATAGCCATGTGCTGCTTGCTGTGATCAGTGGGGACTGCATAGCGTTTTTACAAGTTTAATGAAGAGTTGGAAGAGAAATTTGAGGCTAAAATTCTGTATTTTGCTGTTATCAATATTTGACTTGTAATTTAAGAAAGACTTAATGTACAGTATTTTTACTTTGGGGATACATTTATCTTTTTGGCAAGTCAAAAGACTTAATCTGCTGCTTGCTCACTATCTTGTAATTATACAGGCGCAGCAGTGATAAGCAAAACTTTCCAAAACTGGAATAGGGTTTTCTTGTTATGTGGTTATGTAGGAAGAATGACATTTGAATACACTGCCCAGTAAATTGGTGCAGTTTGGAAAAGGTATTATTATTGATGTGGATACTTAAGGCAAAGTGTATTTTATTTTATTTTTTAGCATTTTAATATTGCTTTTTGTCTTTACAGGAAAATGTTTATAGGAGGCCTTAGCTGGGACACTACAAAGAAAGATCTGAAGGACTACTTCTCCAAATTTGGTGAAGTTGTAGACTGCACTCTGAAGTTAGATCCTATCACAGGGCGATCAAGGGGTTTTGGCTTTGTGCTATTTAAAGAGTCGGAGAGTGTAGATAAGGTAGTGTTATGTGTTCTAATCAGTTAATAATATATGTGGATAGTTTGATACAATCAATTTGTCCATTATTTGTGATTTCCCCTTTTGCAGTTATACAAAGGAGGAGATAAAAGTTCTTGCCAATACATTTTATGAAGAGAGTCAGATTCAAGAATTGTTTACTGAATACCTTTTGTGTGCCAGGCTCTACTAAATTAAAATTAACTTTAAAAATATTGAGACTTAAAGACACCTAATTAAAAGGATGTGCTGTGACAAGTTCATAAAAGTACAGATTTTGAAATTTGCTAGGCAAGAGACTTTTGACTGAATCATTTTAGTCTTGGGCTAAGGGTGATGTTTATATTGCTGACAGTTAAAGATGTGATGGTTTTCTAGTAATTGATTAAATTTGTGTCTCCCCTCCTTCCCCATTCTTCTTGACCTTTAGGGTTAAACACTAGTATATATTAGCTGATGCCACATCACCACAATTTGAGCCTGGCATTAGCTACATTTTTTAAACTATAACTGTTTTTAAAAGTAAGTTAATAGACTCCGAACTTTAAGATATACATATTTAAAATGAAAAACTTCAATTTCCTTAGGTCATGGATCAGAAAGAACATAAATTGAATGGGAAGGTGATTGATCCTAAAAGGGCCAAAGCCATGAAAACAAAAGAGCCTGTTAAAAAAATTTTTGTTGGTGGCCTTTCTCCAGATACACCTGAAGAGAAAATAAGGGAGTACTTTGGTGGTTTTGGTGAGGTATGTGATACTGTTTTGACCCAGTTTTTGTCAAAATCAGTGTGAAAATCATTGTCACATTAAGGGTTTTTCACTGAGTTTTTCACAGTTGTTTTAAAGTTTGGACAGATTATGTGATTTGTTTTGAAGTAAGGATTTGTAAATACTTTATTAGCAGATCTTTGAAGGTTAGATGATTGCATTTTCTCATTTATTGAGGAACTACTATATGCATAGCATTGCTGGCCACAGGATACACAAAGATGAAATAGATATTTCAAGGAATTTACCAGATTAGTAGAAGAAATAAAATATATAAACAACATGAAGAGGAAATCCAGATTGAATTACCTGAGATATAGAAGGAAATGGTTCATTGAGAATGAATTAAGAATAGGATGTAGCGCCTTCTCAGTTTAAACACATATGTATGTGCAAATTTTTATAAGGCTAATTGTAGACTTAGTGAGATAGTGAGATAGAGGTTTTCTTTTATGAATTAATGATTT